GGGTGGCACTTGAGTGAACGTATACAAACATAAACCTCCGAGGCCGTAGTTGGTCTCACGTCCACCGTCTAGGGTTCTGCGCCAGCCGTTGGTTCCAGATGAGAGGCAGCTGGTGGCCACGATAACCGTCCAAAGTAGTCAACCCAACAGTCATGGTGTTCATCACTCAATATGGTCGCTTTATTGGTTGTTTCACTCGCAAGTAGTATCCGCGAACTGGTCACACGGATCAACTGAAGTAATCTTAAAACATTCCTGGCTTTCTGGACCTCCGCCATTTCCTTAGCTTTACGTGTCCACCAGGCTTCACGGTCGACACAAACACTCACTCTCACTTGACTTCTGATAAATCGTCAGGCAAGTTATTTTTTCTAACTGGAGGGGATATTTCTCCAAGATTTAAGCAGTGCTGTTGTCTGATCCAGTTCTTGAGTAGGCCTGGTAGCGCCGTGCCATAATTAAAACTCTCAGCCCCGGGTAGGAAGTTGACGACCCCGTCCTAGTATAGTGAAGCAGTTGAAATAGACTCCAAAAAGACGAATCTGGTAAATTCGTCTAAGGTGCTTATCCGCCAGTCCGGGAAATGCAAGTACATCATTTTTACGGAATAAGTCGCCACACAAGTTCCAACCCCCAACTGGGGGATCAGAAGACTATGTTCAGGAGACCTGTAACCATTGACCAACCTGGCATGCGAGTACCACGTGGGCACTCCCCAGCATAGCTCAATGGGTCACGGAGGTAAAAAAAACCCGTCACACCTTGGTAAGGTCCAGCCTCCTTGTGTCGGACTCTCGAGAAGCTTTCCCACAAGCAGTGGTATCCGACAAGGATGTCCACTCTCTCCATTTTTGTTGTATGTCGGTATTGATGAGATAATTAGACGAACACTGAAATATGCGGGAAACTCCAGAGTTCTTGTCCTTCCCTGAGACAACCTAGAATACGTAGATGACTTTCTTACTTTTAAAAAGAGTATGAAGCGCAAGGATTACTTTAAACGTTGATCGAGTTCGTCTAGTCCCTCGGCATATGCCAGCTCCAAGTCATGCTTCAGGACATACAGTCTTTGAACTCGCCACTGAGTTGCACTGGAGGTTATGGGGCACTGTGTGTGTGTATTGGAAGTTGAGTTAACTCTGACGGTAGCCTAACGGACGAAATGAACGCGTGGATCTCGAAAGCTAGAACTGTGTTTGCCAGTTTGGGTCATTTGTGGCAACAAAAAGCTTTGTCGCTGGGCTTCAGAGGGGTCTCTGACCATCAGTATGTTAGAAATATGGTGAAAACTGCTGGAACAGCGGATTCGGACTGAGGTGGTCAAGAAATAGGACTTTACTGAGGTAGATGGTACTTCACGCAAAGTATATCTAGTACATCATGCAAAGGTCGTTGGACCACTTGTATGCCTGCCGAGACTAGCGCTGCTTTCCACACCTAGTTTGGAGTAGAAGGAACCTAGAGGTGGACAGAATTTGACATGGCCGAAGGGAATGAAGGGTGTTACTACCCAGAAGGTCCAGAAGGTCCATGGTTCGAACTCGACCTCTGACTCTCGACTTCCCTTGTCTAGGCTTGGGCAACCTGGCAGTATCCCAGCCCTCATGCTTCCTGCGGGTGGCATGGCAGCAGTAGACAGTGAATGATTTGGAGGTTAACTGATCTCAGTGAAATTCATACCGTCAGTTTCTATTCAGATATCCTGTCTGGATGGTGCAGGTGTCGAAACCTTGGATTTGTGTGTTAGGGCAGCAGCTCTATACCCCCTTTCCATTCTCTCATTGCGTTGTTTCTTTAACAAAATCAGTATGGTTGTATGGCTCTGAGGCACCGGTGTCCTCATTCAGTGTTGTCACTCATGATGATGAAAAGGGCCTTCAGTCGCACTAAAAGCCTCGATGGCTTGGTCATTCGTTGTGTGTTGAATAATCGCTTGATAAGAAGTGCTGTTTTCCTTGCTCAATCCGGTGTAGTGCAAGCGGCTAGGTGAACCTTTGACATTGCGGAGGCATGAAAGGGATTGCAGATGGTCTGAGTACCGTCGGCGCTGGTCGATTTCCAGATGATCATTCGTTTGTATTGATAAAGGCGTTGCAATCACTGGCATTGTTGCTGTTAGCTTTCACTCAGTGTTTGAATAAATGTCTTGAGGTGTGTGTGTGTGGGGGGGGAGAAATGGCTCAGTGTTTAGAGCGAGAATTTACTGACCGCAAGGTCCGTGGTTCGAACCCGCCGTATGAATCTCGACTTCTGGGCAGTATCTCAGCCCTCGTACTTCCTTCGATTGGTGCGGCAGTTAGGTAGCGAAAAGGTGTTACGGCTGAACATTTTTTTACCAGTGAAAATAGGGTCTGCTGTTAATGATGGTGCTGTCTACTGAGATCACTTTTGATTCCTGTTCCTTCAGAGCGGTGCAAACTGTGTGGTGCGCACCTTGTGACTTGGTAGGATGGTATGAGAGATTACGGCAAGTTCGGAGTTGTTGGTGTGGTTCGTCTTCCGGGATTGGGTTCCCGTGACCCACCCTGCTCTTGGCTTGAGACTGCAAGACATGGCGCCTCATTTCTATCAGTGGTACACGCGCTGTCATTTTCTTCCCAGTTTTTTAGAGTTCTCAGAGGGTTAGGCAACTCAGGATGCTTGCAGTAGGATAGTACCAGGTGCACCTCTCATCGCTTCACTTACTGCTAGTAATGTCGGGTTTGGATTCCCTTATATGATGCAGATTGAGTTTATTTTTCACCGAGTAAGTCAGTTCTCTTTACGGGGTTGTGTGATCGGTTGTTGTGAGTGCGATAAGGTGTGAAGAAATGGCCTTTTCAAGGTATGCGTCCACTGTAAGCGTTTTGTTTAGGAGATCCCTTTCCATTATTAACCACTCTACGGTGCTTATGGCTTTAGCTCCTCAGAAGTATTATTACTAAAGGGCGTTTGTAGAAAATGATTAAAAAACGCATTGACCGGAGATATTGTCCGACTTATGTGTTAGTGCGGTGGACTGAGCATTGAGATTTCCTTAGTGCCTCTAGTTACAAAAACGCCCGGGAGACTAAACTGCCACTGGATTTGAACTCATGGGACATTATTACGGGGACCAGAAAGTAAGCTGAGATGTGGTCCGGGAGTAAAAATATGATACCCTCGACGTAAAGTGTTTGGAAAAATATTTTAAGGATGCCACGGACTTGTTTTTCTATCTTATAAAAATTTCAACCAGAGATTGGCCTAATAGATAACATAGGACAGCGCCATTACTTGTCCGTTAGCATCTGCGTGCACAACAAAACCATAACTTTTGGTAATTCAACTGAGTGTTGTATATGAATCACCAGCTGGAAACCGCGACATGAGGCTGTCTGTTAAAAAAGTACTCGTAACCAGTTATCGGGCGAAATAGGGTCAACAGAATTACCGAAGTTCAGACGATTTACGGAGAGACCGTTGTAAACCAGTCCGTCTTTTTCGCCGATCAGTTGCGAAATGGGTTGTTTCACTCTTCTTGTTACCATACACCTATCCTGTATATGCCGTGTGTAAAACAACGACCGATAGAAGAAAGTGGGGTGTTGTTATCTCGCGAGATGTGTCTTCCTACTTTTATAACAAATTTATCATATGGGTGTAGACAGTTGAGTTTTACGCATAGGTTGCGGTGGCCGGCGCGGATTTTGTGGAGCCTATTTTATGGGAATGCAGTTGGAATGTGAAATGACTGGAATGAAGCTAATGAGCGACTTCTAGCAACGGCTGAAATAGTTGTGATTCAACGGTATGAAACTTTGTGTCAAAGCCATCCGTACGTGTCTCACTTGTACGGAGTGTTTAACTATGCGAGTCGGATCTCAAACCTGGATGCAGATACAGTTAGCCAGGCAACCTAGCCTGATTTGTCCTTGGATAGCAGTTTCCCGGAATCAGTGGAATTCGTACTGTGATCTGTCATCCATCCATCCAATAACGACTGGTTGATATTAGATAGGGGTGATGGAGTCGTTTGATTCCTGCTCTTGAATTTCAGTGCCACATACTCTACATGAAGGCTGTTCTGGGGATAGGAGACGCGAAAATGATAGCGTGCCCTGAACAGCTAAAATCGCCAGCATTTTCTTGATTTATGTGCTGTATTCCACAAGTAGGAGAGAGTACGGCAAAGCGGGGTTGTTCTTTATGATGTGGT